AAAATGTTTTTTAAAAATCTGTTCTTTCAAAGAGAGAGATCTGGCACTTACATCCAGAATGCACGCCACCCCTCAGCACGAGCCGCATCGCTCACACAGAAACAATTATTTATACATTTCAAGCTGAGCCAGCTAAAGGATTTCCAGCTGGCAGAGGCTCTTATCATGTTTTGTCAAGCCGAGCTGAAGAGTTAGCAAATGTTTAAATGGTCAAAAGGCGAAAGGACGTAAACGGACAAAATGCCGACATGATACATACAAAATTTAACCCAGTACACTCTGACATATAATCTTTTTCTATGAATGTAGAAAACAAACTAGATTGCGTTTCCTGTGAAAATGCAGTGTGAATTCTTGTTGCTGAAGCACTTGCTGACAAAAAGCTGAAATTAGCTAAAAACATGCTGAAATGGAAGAACAAGCGTAAGTTAGCTGAAGAAAGCAGAAAGAACACATATTTGCTGAATTTGGTTTAAATAAGCAGAAATGAACACAGAAATTTGTGGATTAGCTAAAAAAAAAAGGCTTAAATTAGCAAGAAATAGCTGAAAAGTAGCTGAAATGACAGAATGAAGCTTAAATTACCAAAAGGAAGTGGAGAGAGCACAATTGTGCCTAATTAAACATGAAGAAGCAGAAATGGGCAAAAACAATGTTGAAATTATCTGAATAAAGCAGAAATTTGCCAATAACAGCTGAATAGTAGCCAAAGAATGTCCAGGACATCCTTGTAAAAGAGATTAATAATTTCAATTAATTTCTTCCTGGTAAAGTAAAGGTTAAAAAAAAAGAAGCAAAAAGAAGCTTAAATTACCATAAAGAAGTGGAGAGAATACACTTGTGCCCAGTGAGGCTGAAAGAAGCAGATATGAGCACAAAAAAGTGGAACTGATCGAGAAAAGCAGATGGTTGCAATAAACAGCTGAATAGTAGCTAAATAGGCAGAAGCTTACGTTACCCAAAGGAAGTGGTTAGAGCACCAGTGTGCCCAATTAAGCTGGAAAAAGTTGAAATGAGTGCAAAAAATGTAGAATTAGCTGAAAAGGTTAAAATTAGCATAAAACAGCTAAATAGTAGCTGAAATGGCAGAAAATGCTGAAACTAGCAGAACAAAGCTGAAAGGAGCACAACAAGCTGAAATGAGCATAAATAAGTTAAGTAGGCTGAAAGTGGCAAAAAATACCATGAAAACCTTTATCTGAAAACAGCTTAAATTTGCTAAAAAGCTAGCTGAAAGCTGAAAATGTAGAACCAGCTAAAATTAGCATAAGAAAGCAGAAAGAACACGTTTGCCCAATTACATTGAAAGAAGCAGAAATGAGCACAAAAAGGTGAAAATATCTGCTGAGACTAGCAAAAAAAAAGACAGCTGAAAAGTAGCTAAGAAGGCATAAAGAAGCTGAAATTAATAAATTAAAACAGCAAAATAGTAGCTGAAATAGCTGAAATTAGCAGAAAGAAGTTAGAAGAAGCACAAAATTTTGAAGTTGGCAGAATAAATCTGAAAGGAGCACAAAACAACTGAAATTATCTGAAAGTAGCTAAAAATTTTTTTTAAAGAATTGCACAAGGAGTCTGAAAGCAGCCGAAGCAGAACAAAAAGTGAAAGGAGCAGTAAAAGGTTGTAAACGGATCTAAAGATTTGAAGGATGGAAAATGAGCTCGTTTCATTTTCTATGTGGAAAAAATGGCAGAAAAGGCTAAATGTTTCAAACAGCTAAAGTTACACCAACACCAAAAGTCAGAGCAGGATTGAGCTGAACGTTTTATGATTTGTTGAAATGGAACAAAAATGATGGAAGAAGTTAGATGCCGATAAACGTATGGAATGGGGATCGAAGTCGGAATAATAAATATAAACAGGATGACAATAGTGTGAATTCACACTATTAACGTAACAAGATGCGTTTCTTACACTGCCAGAAAAATCAAGTTTAAGCTGTGCAGAGCTATTCTGCATTGTTTAGTTAGCGGAGCAGAACTTTCGGCTGGACTCAAACCAGCGCTGACAGAAGCTGCAAGTCCCCCGGGATGAAACGAGCTCACGTGCACATTCTCTTCAACTCTTCAGCAACGTCGCAGAACAGATAAATATCACACGACTGAGATCATGAAGAAAGCCTCGAGCGTCATTTACCCGTACAGAGACGTACGCCGGACGAGTTATTAATAAACGAAGCTTCTCGTTCTGTAGCTTGAACCTGCCGCCTGTCTGGCTGGCAGGGTTGATGTGTAACGTGCACTCCGTGAAACTGTTGAGTCTTCGTTATGAACCCACTACAGGAACAGTTGGAGCATCTTCAGATCTGTATTTTCTTCATTACTACGTTTAAATTAGAATGCCATCAAAAAGCAATATATTCACTATTTGATGAATGGGTACAATAACACAAATTGTCCATTTTAAATGTATTTTCATAATCATGGACCAGGTCTTTACCCTCACTATGGTCCTTGAGGGGTCATGGGAGTTTGTCCATCCAGTCTACAAGGCATTCGACCGTGTTCCTCAGGGTACACTGTGGGGGGTGCTCCGTGAGAATGGGATTGGGGACCCCTCAGCCCCTATACAAACAGTGCGAGAGTTTGGTTCGCATTGCTGGTAGTAAGTCGGACCACTTCTGGGTAGAGTTGGACTCCACCAGGGCTGCCCGTTGTCACCGATTCTGTTCATAACTTTTATGGACAGAATTTCTCGGTGCAGTTGGATGGTGGAGGGAGTCCGGTTCGGTGGCCTCAGGATTCCATCTCTGGTCTTTTCAGGTGACGTGGTCCTGTTGGTGACATCGTGCCGTGATCTCCAGCTCTCACTGCAGCGGTTCGCAGCCGAGTGTGAAGTAGGGATGTGCGATATGGCATAAAATTCATATCACAATACGTATTGTGAAGGGTGGCGATAACGATATATATCACGATATGTTTTTGGTATAAAACTTGCAATAGGAATGGAAAAAAGCATAATGTCCTTTTGCCATAATTTATTTTGAAAACTGCTATACCACAAAATGTCAATTAAGAAAATTCCATTACTAGGTCTAGATAGCTTTTAAATAACAAACAAATCAAGTGTTAGGGTTCTTTCTTGTAGTGCAAAATGGTGCAAAAGATATCAAATTTAGTTTTAGCCGTATGTTTTAAACAAAATGTTAACTCTTAACAGGTTCCAGTATTCTAACTTAAGGAACAGCAACAGAGCAGCATCTTGCACTGAAAACACTAGTGGGCGTCTCCTTCCGCTTTAAGTAGAGCTGACACAAAATGGCGACCAGTTTCCTCTGTGGCTTTGACCACATGGTCTTGCAGTAAAATCACTCAACACGGCGTTCTTTTACAGATCAGAGAGCAGGTGTAACTGTTTTTTTTTTGGCTCATATGCACTCTGTAAAGCTGACCGATGAACTTTCGACAAAAAAAAACAACTTTCGACGGAACACAGCGTTTTGCCCATGCGTCCGAATACGAGTACGTAATCCGTCCATAGTTAGCTTGTAGCTTTGCTACTTAGCTCTCGAAGAAAGGACCTTAACACCACTTTCACAGTTTTCAACTAAAAAAAAGTTACAATTAAATATGACAACTTGATTTTACATCAGACACAGCATTACTGCGGTTAGCCGGTAGAATACAGATCTCTATCATAGACTAAAGGTCTATCGTTTCTACCTTGTACCGTATATATCACGCATTCCTGGTGTGAAGTATCTGGGATGAGGATCAGCACCTCCAAATCTGAGGCCGTGGTCCTCAATCGGAAAAGGGTGGATTGTTCTCTTCGGGTCGAGGGTGAGGTTTTGCCTCAAGTGGAGGAGTTCAAATATTTTGGGGTTTTGTTCACGAGTGAGGGAAGAATGGGGCGTGAGATTGACGGATGGATTGGTGCAGCGTCTGCAGTGTTGTAGACTCTGTACCGGTCCATTGTGGTGAAGAGGGAGCTGAGCTGTAAGTCAAAGCTCTTTGTTTACTGGTTGGTCTACGTTCCTCCCCTCACCTCTGGTCATGAACTCTGGTAGAGACTGAAAGAACGAGATTGTGGATCCAGGAGGTTGAAGTGAGTTTCCTCTGCAGAGCTGGACTCTCAGAGACAGGGTGAGAAGTTCAGTTATCAGGAGAGACTCAGAGTAGAACTGCTGCTCCTCCACATCCAAAGGAGCCAGTTGAGGTGGTTCATCTGGTAAGGGTGCTCCCTGAGCGCCTCCCTAGGGAGGTGCTTTTGGCATGTCCGACTGGAAGGAGACCCCGGGGAAGACCCAGGACACGCTGGACAGACTATGTCTCAGTTGGACTGGGAACGCCTTGGGTCCTCCCAGAAGAGCTGGAAGAGGCTGTGGAGAGAGATGTCTGGACCTCCCTGCTCAAGATGCTTCCCCTAGACCTGAGTCCAGAACAAGAGGGAGGACATTTCCATACAAAACCACTGAAACCAGTCCCGTTGTGTTTTGCATGAGCTGCAGTCATGCCGACACATGGAAGTTCAAATCATAAATACTGATCCGTGTTGGGAATAATTCATGAAACTCTGAATTTTTCACGAAAACCTCGTTTGCTGCATTACACAACGCGTTTTAAAGGTTTCCATCGGGCGTCTGCGCACGCATTCATACACACAAATGTACGTCTACGTGCAGTCCATGAATATTTTTGAGCACAACTCGGCTTGTTTGGCACTTTTTTTTTTTAAGTTTTGACTTTCTATAAGTGAATCTAACGTGGATATTTAGTAAAATTCCTCCCAGTTATCCTCCATGGTTCCTCTGGAACTGTTGCAGACGTCGTCATGTTCCCTCTCCGGTTAGATCGATGGCTCTGCCTTCAACCCAAACAAAATAAACCGTTTTATTTGCCACGGTGCCACAGTGAGTGATGAAGGGAAGCTTTGTTTTGAACCTGATTATTTGTGTCTATATGTGCTGCAGGGCGGGGGGAGCCTTGACACGCAGCTAAATCTTCATGTGCTCATCTCTCTTCCTTCTGGCTGTTGCAGAGAAACCGACCGTCATCGATGTGGGCATATACGTCAACAGCATCGGGCCCGTGTCCTCCATCGATATGGTGAGTCTGGGGATGACCCGTCTCCTCCACCCTCACGTTTGTTCATCGTCAGACACGAGCGCTGTCATCTCTCATGGAGGTCGTCCGGGCCGCCACAGCTGTTCGAGCTGCTGTGAGCCGAGACCGGCAGGTGTGGACGAGGCTGAAGCGTTCACTCTGCTCACATCCAGTTTTCTTCAGCATCGGCATCGTTCCATCATTTTTGTTGTTTCATCAAAGCATAAATCAAAATATTTCGGCTCTTTCAGGACAATCCTGCTGTGACTTTTGGTATTGGTGCAACTTTAGCTTTTTTTTTTAAGTATTTAGCCTTTTCTGCCATTTTTTTTCCTCGTAGAAAATGAACCGAGTTCATTTTACCTCCTTCAAATCTTTACATCTGTTACAACCTTTTACTGCTCCTTTCACATTCTGTTTTGCTTCAGCTGCTTTCAGCTGCTTTCAGCTGCTTTCAGCTGCTTTCAGCTGTTTTGAGCTCCTTTCAGATTCTTTCTGCTATTATCAGCTTGTTATGCTCCTTTCAGCTTATTTCTGCAAGTTTCAGCTATTTTGTTATTTCAGCTACTTCAAACTAATATTTTAACTGTTTTATGCTAATTTTAGCTATTTCGGCTAATTACTTTTTTTTGCACTCGTTTCAACTTTTTTCAGCCTAATTCAGCAAAAATGCACCCTCTCCACTTCTGGTAATTTAAACTTATTTTTGCTTTTTTAGCTACTTTTCAACCATTTTTTTTGTTGCTAATTTCAGCTTTTTTCTGATTATTTCCACTTCTTTGTGCTCATTTCTGCTTTTTTCAGCCTTAGAGGGCAAACGTGTTCTTTCTGCTTTTTTCTGCTAATTGGGGACTGCCATGCACCTGTTATTCTACACCTCGGAAGAGTGTCTACATTTCTATAACCACAACGTCTACCCCCACAAAAGTTATATCAAAACGACCGGCTCGGCCCGAGATGTGTGCTATTACTTTTATTGGCAATTGGTGTTACCATGGCGACATATTTTGCTAACGAATATGACAAATTTCCCATAGGAAATGAATAGGAGAAAACTTTTCAAAGAAACTGGATAACATCGGGAGCCATTTTGGTTCAACATGCATGGAAGGCACCAATTATCACCTATTATTAATTAGTAAAAAATTATAATTAACATAAAGTATTAATGATTCATTTGAATAATTACAAATAATAACATTAATAATTACTAATACAAATAATTGATATTTAATATTAATTATTAATATTATTATTGCATATATTAATAGTTTATAATAAATAATAAATCAACAATATATTAATATTATTAATTATTAATATTTATTATTAATAATACTTTAATAATAAATAGACAGTCCCTGTCAAAGTTTCTCCAGGAACTTTCTATTTTAAGTTTGTTCTTCTTTTAGAGCTACTTTAATTTTTTTTTTAGCATTGTTTAGCTCATTTCAGCTGTTTTCAGATAAATTCAATTTTTTTTGTGCTACTTTCATCCTAATTAACTTCTTTATGTTAATTTAAGCTGAAAGGAGCATAACTTGTTATGCTCCTTTCAGCTTATTTATGCTAGTTTAATTGATGTCAGCTATTTAGCTATTTATGCTAATTTTAACTATTTCAGCTAATTCCACATATTTTGCACTCGTTTCAACTTTTTTCAGCCTAATTCAGCAAAAATGTGTTCTCGCCACTTCCTTCTGGTAATTTAAGTTTCTTTCTGCATTTTTAGTTAATTTTTAGCTGTTTTTTTTGTTGTTGTTGTTGTTAATTTCAGCGTTTTTTCAAATAATTTCCACTTTTTGCTCATTTCTGCATCTTTCAGCCTAATTAGACAAACATGTTCTTTCTGCTTCCTTCTTCTAATTTAAGCTCGTTTTACCTTTTCAGCTGCTTAGCCCCTTTTTTTTTAGCTAATTTCAACTCTTTTTGGATAAATTCAAAAATTTTCTGGTAATTTCTGCTACTTGCAGCTTAATTAACGTCTTTATGGTAATTTCAGCTTATTATGCTCCTTTCAGCTTATTTATGCTCGTTTA